GGTGGATGGGGGGTGCACACACTGGACGGGGAGCGGTGGATGGGGGTGCGCACACTGGATGGGGAGCAGTGGATAGTGGTGCGCACACCTAACGGGGAGCGGTGGATGGGGGTGTGCACACCGGACGGGGAGCGTGGTGGATGGGGGTGCGCACACTGGACGGGGAGCGGTGGATAGGGAGTTGCACTCTGGATAGGGAGCAATGGATGGACTAAGGAAGCCTCAAGGGTCTCTTTTAGGCACAGTGTCTCTGGACTGGGGGAAGGACTGACCCCACATATGTCCACAAACAAGGAGAATCCTGGGCTGTGACCTGGGAGAGGCAGTTCTCAGAGGGAAACTGGAAACCCCAGCTGAAGGGTTGGGAGAGACAGGGTCCTCCAGCCCCACATCCACCCCAGCCCCAGCCCCATTCCTTCTGGCCCCGTGCAGCCCCCAACCCAGCCGTACCTACAGACTTGGTCCGTGGAATCCCCTTCCGCAGGGAGCCGGGCAGCTTCTCTGGGCCTGGGAGGCCCTGGCGCTCAAACAAAGACTGTGGGAGTTGGGGGGTTATACGGGGGTTCTGGGACACTGGGGCTCCCAATTCTCCATCCAGCCCCAGCCATCCTCCTAAGCCTGAGATCAAACACCCCATGCACTAATTCCAATGGCACCAATGGGGCCTGACCCAGGACTCAGACCCAGGCCCTGAGGTCTCCAGGGAGCAGGGGCACAGCCAGTGGGGGCCTGGGCATAGAGCACTGGATAGGGTTGATGTGGATGAGGCTCCGGGAGTAGCCCAGAAGATGCCAAGGGAGAGGAATGGCAGGGGAACAGAGACCAAGTTGTACCCTCCACAGGGCTGGGGTGCTCTAGGTGGTCCTGGGTGTGGCTCTGCAGGAGGTACTGAAACCCACGGCCAGAGCAGTGAACACTCGGCATTATGTTCAGCTGTGGCCATTCTGGGGGCTAAGATTTCCCCACGTGTGAGAGGAGAAGCCACGGGGTCCTTCACCCCCACCCCTGGAGAGTAGGGTCCAAATGATGGACTTCCACCCCAGAAAAATGTACACACACCCAGCAGGGGACATGGAACTCCGACCCCCATGCTCCCCCTGCCTCCCCACTCCCTGTGCCCCCCAGCTGTTGGGATGACTCACACTGATCTCAGCAGGGGTGATCCTCCGACTTGTGGGCCGCTGTTTGACCGTGGCGGCTCTTGAGTCAGCATCTGCGATGTCTGGCCTCAGTGTAGGCTCCGCGGCGGCTGCCAGGATCTCATCCAGTTTCTCTGCACAGCCAAGGGAGGCACCATCTCAGCCACCTGGACCCTAACCTGCTCCATCCCTGTGTAGCCCCACTGCCGAGACCTCCCTGCAAGGCTGGTCCACCTGGTGCTGCTGATGGAGCCAATGGACCCCGCCCACCCCATGTCCCTTCCTCCAGACCCGAGACTGGGGAGACTGGGAGCCAAGCAACATGCATCCCATCTGAGTCCTATGGCCTCTCTGTCCTCGGGGGCTGGTCCAGGTCACCCCCTGGAGCCCCACTCCAGGAAAAGCCTGACTGACCATTAGGGAGAGGACCAGGGGAGGGACAGCACTGCTTGGAGCCCGGAGTCTTCCTGAATTTGTCTCCCTCTTCTCCTCAGCACCTGGCATTTCTCGTCTGTCTGTGGCCCTGCTGTTCCTGGGGGCCACAGCCCGAGGACAAACCCTGGTGTACAGCAGGTGCCCATAAAAGATGCAAGTAAGTCAGGAATGAGTGAACAGGGGATCCTTCTGAAAACAGAACTCACAGTCCCAGGCTGGGGAACTAAAAAAAAAAAAAAAAAATATGGCCCTAATGCAGACTAGGAGGCCAAAGAACCTTCACCCCAGAAAAGCAGCTCCACCCTGGGTGGGAGGTGTGGAGAAAAGAGGAAGATATTGGGAGGGCTGGTGCTGAAGGGGCTTCCACCAGCCCTGTAGAAAGAAGGTAAGGAAGAGGGGCTGACAGACAACAAGGCCCAAGAAGGGGGGCCTCAGGCAGCGTTCAAATCCATCATAAAGAAAAGCTGTTTGCTTGTTTTTATTAAAGCTCTTTAATGTTTTTAAAGGTGGTGTTTTTGCTTATCAACATGACTTGGAAATCTTGTTAAACACGTGTGTCTGAGAACGAGCAGCTCTGCCTGGATGACTGGGGTGGTGCCCTCAGACCCAGCATGTAGAGTGCAGTAGGGGTTGGGGCCAGCTCCTGTACCCCCAGTAGCCCCGCCTCACCCCCCTCATCACCCAGGCTCTGAGTGCCAAGCCTAGAGGACCATGCGTCTGGTCATGCTGGGCCTCTCATAATTGGCCCCTGTCAGAGGACACGGTCAGCCCCACCACCTCCCACCAGCACCTCCTGTCTCTTCCTCCACAACCCACTCAGCAATCGCCATGGGGAAAGAAGTCAGCTCCTCCCAGCTGGCCGGCACCCAACCCAGACCAGACCCACACCGCACACCAACTCTGTCCTGACTTAACCTCTCTGTGCCTCAGTTTCCTTATCTGACAAAGCGAGCAGAAAAACAGCAGCTGCTTCAGTGTCTGTTGTAAGAACTGACACGGACATAAGAAGTGCCCTGCTCAGGGTTAGCGCTGAAGGCACACTGCACCTCATCTCCCCAAAGAGCCTACAGGCTCCCAGAATGTCCTGAGTGTCCAGCCTGGGCCCTGAATAATACAGTTCAACAAAGGTTACAACTCATCAGCAGAACCTGCTCCATCTACAGATTAGCTCACAGGTCCTGTGCCTGGCTCCCAGCACCACTGCGAGGGCTCGTTAGAGAGGTCGTCACCCTTGTTTTTGTAATGAAGCAAATAATTTCCCTTTGGAAGCTGAAGCCACCATCACCACCCTATGTTCAGTCCTTGGTGACTTCCGGTTAGAAGAGCTTCCCATGACCCTTCTCTCATCCCTCAAAATCATACAAAGAAGATGCTGATACTGCCCTCATTTTACCCAAGAAGAAACTGAAGCTCTGAGATAAAGCGCTCCAGATCATAGATCCAATAAGTAAAAGATCAGACTTAACAACCATGTTATCCAGAAACCGCAGACATAAAGACATGAGCAGAGAAGAAACTGAGCTCACCTGAGCTGCGGATTTTAGAAGCTGCATCTCTAGGTCCAGAAGAACTCAATCCCAGAAACCAAAGCAGTGTGTACATGAAGTTAGCGATGCAAATGTTGCTGGACATGGGGTGGGGGGGTTGCTGGGGCCAGGCAAGAATTATTTCCAAAAGGGAAAGAAGCAAGAATTCTGCAAACTACAAGCTGGTGAGGTTGACAACAATCCCCACCATTATTAGAAAATACATTCTTAAATAAATTATTTTAGATACTCAAAAAAGAAAATGAAGCCCATTAGGAACCAGGTCTGGGGCACTGGGAACTACACACTCCCCTCAGCCTCACATACACCAGCTCTCAAGACTCCATATGCGGTGGGGACACAGCTCGGGGTGCAGCTGCTTAAACAACCAGAACCCAAGCAGGAATGAGGGGCCACAGGGGTGATGAACTGTCCGTCACTTCCCCTACAACTGGAAGAAGTGCGCAGGTCACTACATAGCACCCTGGGAGCCCTGCTAATGAGCTAAGCGACAGAACCAAAATACTCCAGAAATAGCTTGTGTGTCTGCCTCATAGGGTGAAGAAAAGTGTCCCTAGAGGACACCTAGTTTTAATCCCTGAAAAGGCACTGGGGAAAGCACCTCGCCTGGGACTGGGGCAAGGAGCAATGGGAAAACTCTGAGGGTAAGACTGCAGGCCATGCTGGAGAGCCTAGGCCCAGACAGATGGGGCCAGCATGTCCCCGGCATAGGGAGGGCCCTGTGGATCCCACAGTGAGGGATGGGTGGGCCCCAGGCACACAGACAAGAGAGTGAACACACCCGCCTGGGGCCACAAAGCCGCCTCAGGCTTCCATCTGGCTCTGACTCCTATTTAGCCAAAAGAGAGTCCCCTGTCCACTCAGAGATGGAGGAAGCTGGCGGAGGCCAGGCCCTGAGATCTCACCAGATGCTGGACCTCAGACTCTGTCCCCACATGGAGGCTGCATTGCTTACAGCAAGGCTGGACACACAGAACACACAGGAAGGAGCCTCACAGGATACAGATGAGGCCTGAAGAAAGGAGCAGGGGTGGTGAAGTCAACAGCCTGGGCTATGTTGGGCAGAGGAGCTCCAAGCTCCCTCCCCAGTGCTGTGGGGCCCAGACCCCTGCTCCAAAGGGATGGTCATCAGCACTGGGCTTGACCCCACAACAGGTCAGTACAGAAACGGACCCACACACTGGGCACAAGGAGCCCCAGAAAACAGGCAGAAAGGAGCACCATGGGCTGCAGCTGAGCAACCAGTGCTCCTGCCCCCACTGGCCCAGTCACCATGCTCCCTGAGGAGACCCACAGCCGAACCCTCTGAACCCTTCCCCCACCTAGCTCCAGGACATGGCACATGCTATGGCCTCCACTGGGAGGCCCTCCCAGCTCTGCCTCATCAGGCTGCCTCAGTGGCCCTCACACCCCACCCCACCCCTACTCACCTGAGTCCCCAGAGCCCATGGCTGTGCCTCACTATCACACCCCCACACAGCCACACCCCTGGGAACTCCCATCCGTCCTTCCCCAGCTCCCTCTACCATGCCCACACCAGATTCCCAGGGAGAAGGCCAACAGGAAGGTACAGCCCAGGCTTCTAGACCACCCTGACTTAAAATGGAACCTCCTCACACATCGGCATTTCCCTAGGCAGGGATCAGGTAAAGCTGGGGGCCTGGGGACCCAGCAGATGACTCACCCCCTTTCCGTCTCCGAATGGAGGCTTGCAATCAAGAAACAGAGCAAAGGGGGTAAGAGGCAGGCTTCATCCCTCGGCATCTGGGCCCGCTTCCCACTCCCGTTTCCCCATCTTTCCCGCTTCCCACCCCTCCCAACAATCAGGACCTCCCAGATCCCCTACAACCCCTGGCCTACACCTCCCTATCAGACCCTGAGTGGCAAATGTGCCCAAATGCCAAGTTGGTACATGGCTTGAAACTCAAGGTAGAAACAACCACAAGCAAACACAAGTGTTCGTGTGCATGCATATCCGAGCACGTGCACACACACACACACACACAAACATACACACGTGCATAAATGTGCTCATGCACACAGACATGCACACACATCTGGAGATGTCCACACACAACTAAATCATACTTGGTTCAATCAACTCTTTGTTCAAAAAAAAGACAACCCCCCCCCAAAAAAAAAAACAAGTTCAGAGGCTACTAATAACTTCAGTGGTCACCCTTGAGTATTCTGTGCACTGTGTTTCCAACAAAGGGCAGGTCAGTGTGTTTGCCAGACCATGGCCAATCAGGGACCACACACTGGCATGGCACCTGCCCCGACATTCTCATCACAAAAGAAAAGGGACCCAAAAGTTCCAGACTTTTCATGGGAAAACAGATGAACAGGAGGGGCTCAGACCCACCAAGGCCCCTCCCTGGCCTGAGTCTCCACTGATCTCTGAAGCCCCAGCACATTATTGGTTCAAGCAGATGAACACATGGTGACCACAAAGAGCCCCCCATGCTGAAAGGCACTGGGAGTGTCCCACCCTTCCTCCTCCTCCCGCCACCTGACTCAGGATGAGGGCTCCTATCCCAACCTGTTCCTCTCAATCCCATTTCTGTCAGCCACCTCAGGTCTTCATTTTCTGGGCATCGCATCTGTTCACACCATCCCCCACCAGGACGCTCTTTACCTCGTCTCTCTCCTGCAGGACCTGGCTTCTCCCTGAGTAGCAAGCAACCATCTGGGCATGAGCCCCAACCCTTGCCACCTGCTTTTTCTGTGGTCTCACACTTGCCTTTCTTTCCATATGTTCAGATCATCTTCTCAATAGACTACAGCATCCTAACAGGCTCTAGCCCTTCTCAACAATGTGACAGGGAACTGACATGTTCTGCTGTCAATAAACCCACAGGTCTAATTTCTGTCTTATAAAAGCACAAATGCTGGATCGTGGGATGATCCCTTAGGTACCTGGGGAAACCCTGATGCTGGCCCGGCTCCCTCAACCCTAGAGAAAGTCAGCCAGTGGTCTGGCTTCCCAGGACAGCAATCCTCTGGAGGCGGCAGTGGCTTCTTCCTGTCTGAATGGGGCTACATAAAGAGTCTGGGTCCAGCTTCAACAAAAGCTATGACCCCTCCTCACTCAGCAGTATGGATGGAGGCTCTGTGCTAAGCTGTCCCTCTGTCCTCCCCCAGCCTCTGTTCAGGTAAAAACTGGTGGAAACAATGCTGACCTGAGGCAGCAAGAGTGAGCCCCTCAAGAAGACAAGGGTGTGCAGAACAACCCGGTCACACAGCAGCAGGAGCACCCCAGACCAGTGCAGCGAGGAAGGAGGCTCTTCTACTCACTGGTTTCTTCAGATAGAAGCATCCCAGGAAGCAGAAGGCAATTCTGTTTCCACAGGTCTCTGTCCCCTGGTCCCTGGATGCCCACGCACCTCTTTGCGCAGAACTAGGAGGGTCCCTTCTGAACATGTAGCTGAACATGGCTATGTGACAGCCTCTGGAAGGAACTCCTGGGACCCACCCACCATAGCCTTGGTCTGGTGTCTAGCCAGACCCAGCTGCCTACTGGTACTGGTTTATTGACCAGTCTGGATCCTCAATCAGTATGGTGGATCAGCTGCCCATGGTTAGCCTTGGACCCTTGTGACCCTGGGGCCAGAAGTCTGCTGATTTCTCTGCCTCACTCTTCAATGAGCAGGGTTAGCTAGGTATAGAATTCTAGGTAGAAAAGCATTTTGATTCGAGACTTTCAAGTTATGTTTCCATTGTCTTCTAGCATCTACTACTGCTGATGAGAAGTCTGCTGTCCATTGTTCCTTTCTAAATCATCCAGCTTCTTTGGTAGTTAAGATTTTTCTTTTGTCTATGGTGTCATGAAGTTTTAGTATGACAGGTCTAGATGTAGATTTGTTTTTATTTCCTTCCTTGGAACTCATACTTCTTCAAAATGGAATTTCATGTCCTTGTTCAATTTCAGAAAATTCTTAGCCATTTACTCTTCATATATTGCCTCTTCCCCAATCAGTTCATTCTTTCCCTCTGGAACTCTCATTAGACTGGGATTTTCTCACTTGTCCTTCATCATGTCTTATCTGCTCTTTGATAGTTTGTGTCTCCCTATCTTTCTGTGCTACATTTTGGGTAATTTCCTCAGAATTATCTTCTAATTCACTATTTCTTTCTTCAACTGAGTCTAGTGTACTGTTTATCTCAATCATGGATTTTTTAATCTCAGTGATATACTTTTTGTTTCAGTAACAGTTCTTTAGGGATCCTTTTAAAATCTCCTTATTCTTTATTTTGGGGGCAGGGTACTGTCCTTTATCGGCTGTCATAAAGGGCTGTCCTTTATGAGTTCTGTTACTTCCTTAAACGTTGTATTTAAACACCTCATTTTGTGCCTTTCTTATTCTTCTATGATTTCCAGGGGGGGTTTTGATGCTAATGCCAGTCCTTGGGCTTGGTTCTAGTTTTCCCGCTTCTCATGGGTCCACAGCCACAACTCTTGGCTTTGTGGAAGCATCAGAGCCCCAAACCCTGCCCTTAGGGTCTATATACTGTCCCAAGCCCCCTTGGACTATGGAAGCATCATCAGCTTCCTCTCACTTTCTTAACTGATTCCTCTCTTTATTCTTGAGACCTGGGAAATTCCTCTTCCTTTGTTTTGAGTTGGCTATCTATTTTTGACTTTTACTTTATTCAGAGTATTTATGGGCAAGAGAAGTATGACTATGTCAATCTGGTCTATCTTGGTGGCTGTCCTCCTCCTCCTACACTGCAGGCAAGAGTACCTGCTTGGAAGGGGGGTGGCTCAACCTGTGGCCAGGACGAGGTCAAGGATCACTCTATTAGTAAGGTCAGCAATAATTTTGGGGGACAGCTAAGTGTTCTTTCCATGGCTGGGGAAGAACAAAGCCTGAAGCCAGGGCTGAGGCTCAGTCTAGAACCAGGACCAGGGCCTCTCCTGTGGCCAGGACTAGGTCAGAACTCAGCCTAGGACCAGAGTCAGCCTTCCTTCCATGGCTAGAGCATCGTAAAGTCTGGGACTAGAACTGGGTTTGAATTACAGGAAGATAGAGCATGTTAGCAGGCATGTCTATCGGGACATGCCCAATGTCAACTGCCACATATGTCAGGACACGGTCATGTATATCTGGACATGCCTATGATGAGGCTATTAATGGTCACATATATCAAGACATGCCCACAATGAGGCTATTGGGGGTCACCCTGGGATCATGCCCACATCATGCCCCATCAAAGCCCTGACACACTCTTATTTGCCTCTTGGAGCTCACGAGGGCCTATCCCATCACCATGCTAGCGATGTTCACACAGCCCTGTCAGGTCAGCAGCTCACTGTGACCCCTGCTTAACTGATGCGTGAGCAGGTGCTAAGGAGGCAAAAACAAGCATAAAGGTCACACAGCTGGCGCCAGCAAAGCCAGGGCAGAGCCCAGGTCCCCCGACTCCTGCTCTGTCCTCACTTGGGTGAAACGAAGGGGTAGAGTCCACCTGGAGGTGTGCAGAGCTGGAGCAGCAGGCGCACGTGCACGCAAACACACTGGACGGCCAGGGCCGGCTCCCTGACCATCTCCGGCCCTCAAGCCATCCACGTGTCTCCCCCCGCACCAGTTCAGCACCCACCCGTCCACCTTTGGCCTCCCTACCACACCTTCCCACGTCTGTCTGTCTGTCCACCTTTGGCCTCCCTACCACACCTTCCCATGTCTGTCTGTCTGTCCTTCCCTTCCCCCCCCCCAGCGTCTCTGCCTGGCTTTGGCCCCAGCTCACACCGCCTGGCTTCCCACCTGGGCTGTCTGCCCACTGTCCACGCCTGCTGCTCACCAAGTTCCTCAAGTTCGGCCGTCATGGACTTGGAGCGCAGGGTCAGCGTGGTGCTGGGGGCCCTCTTGGGGGGCGGCGGGGCTGCAAAGAAGAGGGAGGCCTTGGACCTCCTGTCCAGCAGCAGGCAGCGCGGCGTGGCCAGGTGAAGGTGCCACTTGCGCTCTACCGCCTGGATCTCCTCGTACTCCCGGGAGGATGCGTCGCACTGGGCCAGGATCTTGTTCAGGCTGCGGCTGGATGCAAACTTCTTCATGGCGCTGGGAGCGCGGGGGGTGCTGAGGGCCCCGCGGGGCCAGGGTGGTTGGGGCCTCAGGAGGGAGGTGGTCAAGGGCCCCCGGGGGGGTCACGGTGCTGGCCAGCTCCTGCCCGAGTGCCCACCCTGTCGGCCGAGGGCTGAGCAGGGGGGCCCCAGAGCCATGAGGTGGGGGCTGGGAGGGGTCTCCCGGCAGGCTGGGCTCCTGCTCCCCCAGGGCTTCCCCAGGCCCTGGGAGCCACTGCCCCTGGGGGGACCGGGGTGTGGTCGGCAGAGCCAGGACCTGGGCTGGGCTGGCCCAAGCTGGCAGAGCCTCCCGGGCCCGGCTGTGCGGCGACGTCGCGGGGAGAAGACGCTTTTCCTCTTCCCTCAGGTGCCGCCTCCCCCTTCCCTCCGACAATAAGCCGCGGCAGCGTCAACCTCACAGTTGCTATGGCAACCCCGGCCTCCAGGCAGCTGCCGGCAGTGTCGGGAAGGAGGGCTCTTCCGCGCCAGGGGCTGGGGGGGACGCCGGGAAGGAGGGGGTGGGGGTCTGAGGAGGGGCAACCTGGGGTCAGGGGTCAGAGGCTGGGGGCCAGGGTGGGCAGCCTAACATCAGGGACTGGGAAGGCACCCAGGCTATGAATGTGGACACTTCACCTACAGTTAGGCATCTGACGTCAACAGTCTGGGGTCAGGGGGCGGGGAGAGGAGCGGGGGCCTGGGGTCAAAGGTCTAAGGTCAGGAGTCAGAGGGGAATGTCTGAGCACAGAGGTCTGAAGCCTGGCCCCTCACCTCTGCGCCGAGCCCCATCTTCTTCCGGCTTCCTTGTCACAGACACAACCTTCATGACGAGGCGGTTCCCGCCCTGGCGGATCAGAGCCACCACCTGCTTGTGCCCGACCTTCACCACGTTCACCCCGTTCACCTGGGACAGACAGGTGGGTGGTGGGGACCTTCCAAGTGTGTCCTCCTCAGGACTTAGAGGTCAGCACCCCACCTGCTGCACAGGTAAGGACGAGCCTCACCTCGATGAGGAAGTCTCCTGTGCGCAGCCCGGCCCTCCAGGCCACACCCTCCACATCCACCGACTCAAGATACTGGAGCGCAGGGAAGGCTGGTGTGGGTGTAAACTCCTCGATGGGGGTCTCTGCTGCGGGGGGGGGAGGGCAGTTAGGAAGGTGCTTCACCAGCACAGTCCAGGTGGAAGAAGCTGCCACACAGCAACCTCCCACAAGTGGTTCAACACGCTGAACCAAGGACAATTGAGGCCGGAGGTCCTGGGGCTGCCCAGGGTAGAAATCCTCCCTCAGCCCCACCAGAGAGAACTCCCATTCCATTAGACACACTCCAGCAGAGATCTTGGAAATCATCAGGGCGAAGAGACTACTGCCTTGTACTGAGACATTCCAAGCCAAGAATATGGTCAGAGCAGAGGGGCAAGGCAGGGTGGGGCCAGAAAAAGAGAGTGTCAGGGGCAAGGCAGGGGAAGAGGGGCCAAACTAGCAGGGAGAGAGGGAGTGGGGGAGGCAGGGGCAAAGGACGGGGCAGGGGCAAGGCAGGATAAAAGGGTGAAGCTGGAGGGCAAGGGGGAGGCAGGGGCAAAGGACGGGGCAGGGGTGAGGGATAGCGGCAAAGCTGCAGGGCAGGGGTGAGGCAGGAAGGAGAGCAGCGAGGAGGAGCAGAGACAGGAAACACCTGAGCAGGGTGCAGCCCCTGCCAGCCTGACACCCCAGCCCCACACACACTCATGGTGCTGCCTACCCTTCATTACCTTTGGCTCCCCGGAGCACAAAACCAAAGCCCTCATGGTCCCGTTTCTGCAGGACAGCCACCTTGTCGTCAATGACATAATCACTGGTGGAGGAAAGCAGGGAGGGGTGAGGAGAGCCCCGCCAGAGAGCACAGCTGGCCAGGCTGACCCTATGTGTGCCCCAAACAGGACCCCACAGGCACAGCCCACCCCGGGAAGTTGCCCTTGGACTGACGCAGGAAGGCAGAAGACAGAGGTAGGCTGGATATCACCTGCCCTCCTCTGCCCTCTTCATCCCCAGGCCTCCTCGACCAGCTTTTGTCCTCCCTCCATACCTGATGTCCCATCCGCATGCACGCCTACCCTTGCCCACCTGCCCCCCGACCTGTACCTGTGTGAAGTGAGACTGTCATAGGAGCCCACTGTGTAGTGGCGGAAAAGGCGCTTCGTCCGGTCCTCCCGGGTTTCTGAGGGGAGTTTCAGGAGCTGATGGAGGGCCACATCCTCCAACTGACCTGAACTGCCCCTCAACCATGCTGGTCACCAGCCTCTGCCCACACACACACACACACACACACACGGAAGTGGGGGGCCCAAAGGTTCTAAAGTAAGAAGGCTGAGGGGACCATGTTGGAAGTCCTGGCCTCTGGGGGTCAGGGCCCATAATGGGGAGGAGCTTCAGCTCATCTCTCTCCTGAGTGGCTGCACACAGCAGATGGGGCAAGTCCAGGGCCGTCTTCAGAAGGGGTCAGCAAGCCCCAGAGCTAAGAGCAAAGAAGGTGCGTACATGTGCAAGCACACGTGTGTGACTTGGTGTCATGTGTGAGTGCTGGTTCCTACGGGCGTGTCGTGCCGTGGGCTATACTCACGGTCATGAAGTGTCACCGGGTCCCCATTGAAACTCTCACAAGAGCCCACGGACACTCAACTTCCCAGGTTCCCTTCCTCCAGAGCCTGCCTCCGAGTGGGCAGGAGGTCCAGGTGTGGGGCTGGGTCCCCTTCCCTGATGTCACGGCATCCCACAGAGCCTGGTCCCCATTTGTAATCTTGACCCCAAAGTCTCTCACGGCTGTTGCAGGGCTGGCCAGCTGTCCACCTGATGCCCCACCCATGGCCTTGCTGATTCCCTGCAAGCCTGCAGCTTCCAGTCTGCACCCACAGCCACAAACCCCACCCCACACTCCAGGCTTTCTTCTCCAGTTACCTGTAAGTAAGACGCTCCCGCACCTCAACCCCCCACTCCTGCCCCTCCTGGCTTCCATCTCTCCAGGACCCTGGAAGGACCCCAAGACAGCTCTACCACACTTCACACTTCATCCACAGCTCCGCTCTCATTCCCTATCATTCTAGCCTTTCTCAAGATTCATTCATTCATTCAGCAAGTATTTAGAGAGCGCCTACTATGTGCCAAGCACTGTTGTCTTAGGCTCTGAGAATACAGCAAAGCACAGAACAAAACCTCTACCCTGTGGAGTTTACCATCTAGTTGAGGAGAGAGAGAACAGAAAGACAGGAAACAGGTATATGCATAACATGTCAAATGCTGGCAAATGTTAGGAGAGAAGTAAGCAGGATAGGGGTACAGAGAAAGTTTGCAGTCTTAGGGTGGTCACGTGAAGGCTCATCAGGAAGGGACAGTTGGGGAGAGGCACAGAGCATTAGGGAGCAGTCCGAGGACTCTGTGGGTGAAGGGCTTCCTGGCAGCAGGGGTACACAGGGCAAAGCCCACATAGCAGGATTGGCTTGGGATGTTCAAGGGACAGCAAGCAGCCCATGCAGCTGGAGCAGAGGGAGTGAGGGAAAGGAATGAGATCAGAGAGGGAACCTGTGATTGACTGTGAGCTCCTCCCAGGTAAGGATCACATCTCATGTATTTCTGTGATCCCAGCACATACTACAGTGCCTGGAACATAACAGACCCTCTAAATGCTAACTGGAAGGACAGACGGGTGGACAACTGGCTGAGTAGATGGGTGGACGGATGGACAGACAGAACAAGATATAGGTAGAAAAATAGATCAGATCAAAGGTAAATAGATACAGAAGTGGATGGAGGAAAAGAGAACAGGCTGGGAGGGTATGGATGGATCAAAGGGTGGTAGATGGATAAAGGAATGGATAGGTGGGCTGGGTGGGTTGACAGAGAGGGGATAGCTGGACTGGTAGATTGATGACTGTATTGATCAATAGATGGACAGATGGTTGGGTGGGTGGATAGATGGAAAGAGGGGTTGGCTGGGTGGGTTGATAGAAGAGTAGATGAGGGACGCCTGGGTGGCTCAGTCGGTTAAGCGTCTGCCTTCAGCTCAGGTCATGATCTCAGGGTCTTGGGATCGAGTCCCGCATCGGGCTCCCTGCTCACCAGGGAGTCTATTTCTCCCTCTCCCTCTGTCTCTTCCCCCTGCTCGTGCTCTCTCTCTCAAATAAATAAATAAAATCTTTAAAAAAAAAAAGAAGAGTAGATGAACAGCAGGAAAGGTGAGTAAGTCAAGGGATAGATGGATACAAGACTAGATGGAGCAGTGGCTGGATGGAAAAAAGAAAGAATCCCTATTAATATCAGAAGACACAGGCATCAGGAAAAGTATTGGTCCTGCTTTTAGGATCCTGCCACTAATACAATTCTCACTAAGTCAACAGACCCTTTTGAGCCTCTCCTTGTAGAACAGGGAAATTCTCCTTGGAGGGTCCTCTAGGTTCCGATTACCTGTAATTTATCACCCTAACCCTCCCAGTAGCTCATCTGCTCCCTTCTCTTCTCTTCCAAAACATGGCCTGTCGTGCACCTTCACCCACCATCCTGCCATTCCCAAGACCAGAGCAGGCCAGGGCTCATCATTGGGGGGGGGCGGGGAGGGAGGGCATCAGACCCCTTCTTGCCTGTCACACCCTTCTCCATACTGACCCAACTTCTAAATGTTCATAGCGCCTGCCTGCAGAAAGACCCCCTCAAACTCCACAGTTCATTAGCCTCCAGTTTTTAGATTTTGTCAAATTATATTACATAACACAAATTCATTTTCCAGTTTTATTAATCAGACACATAGAATCCAGCTGAAGTGAAAACACACAGCATGACCCCCCAAGTACTGGAAAGACAGGGAAAGAGGGAAGGAGGAAGAGGAAGGGGGAAGGGGAGGAGTTTCCAGGTGTCCCACAGACCCCTCTGTCCGCACAGGACTTCCCCTCACTTCTCAGCGCTCTGCCCGCAACTGCCCCTTTTACCCCTTCTGCCCCAGACAGGTGCCTGAGGGGTACACTCTCTGACGACCCTGGGCATCAGCCTGGCCCATACATGCTGGCACAGTGTCCCCTTTTTGGCCTCTAGTCCCTCTCTGCCCTACTCCAGTCCCAGAAGCAGATCTTTCTTTGGATCTGGGCCTGCTGGAAGCGGGTTCCCACTCCTGGGCTGCCCTCTGGCCTCTGGCAGAACTCAGCCCCTGAGTCCCAGATCAGAGACTATACACCCAGGGCAGCTGGTGGCTGGGTCTTCAGCTGAGGACAGAGATTACTCCTACCCCTTGCCAGCAGGCACACCCACAGGCCTCTCTCCATCTGCCCACCCATGAAAGGGTTCCATCTACACCCATCTACACGGGTACCTTCTGAGACTCTTTCAGGTGACAAACCCCAGAGCCACCCTGGTCTAGCAGCCCTGCAATTGCCCTGAGGCCTGTAGCTGCTCCTTGCACTCTTCCATCTCCGGAGCTTCAGCCTACCCCAGCCCTCTCCACCTCCTCACTCTGTCCTGCCTGGGCCTTTGTCCCAACCCTAAATGACCTGCACCATCAAGACAGCACACCCCAGTCTCCTGTAGCGCTGCCACAAGCCGCAAAGCTCCTCCACCCGGTCCCACGGCCACCTGACCGGCCTCATGCTCCCCACCCCAGCCCTGCCGCTCCTCAGTGCACACACGAGCTTCACTCAGAGCCTGCAGAGTGGTGGCTACAACAGAGACCCTGCAGCTCACTGCCCACACCACACACAGGGCTCTGCCTTCCTAGAGATGAGCTAGCAACTGCCCGCACCTCCCAGACCTGCTGGGACGAGTCAGAAGTCCCCTCCGTGAAAGTGCTGAGAACTGTGCCAGACATCCTGACGCAGCTCAGAGCACGCTAGATGCCAGCACGTGTAATCTAGAACAGCAGGCCATGTTCCAGCACACAGGCTCTGCCCCTCTCCCCACCAGCTGACCACCTAGCGGACTCCCCGCTGTCCTACAAGGCTGCTCTCCGACTCCTCCAGGCCAGCCCCGGGGGGCTCCCCTGTGCCCCCGCCCGTTTCAGGACCCCACCGACATATCTGGTCTCGCTGCTGGGCACACCCACTCCTTTCTAGGCAGAGAACCGGCCTCTGTGACCCCGCTCCTAACACAGGGCCCAATGCACATCAAGATTTGCTGTTCTCAGATCCCAGCTTCCAACTCAGCTTCTGGATCCACACAGTTCTCAAACTGGAGACTTCATTGCCCTCCCAAGGGGGAGCACAGGATCCAGTCCCTACTCAACAAGTCCAGAGGCCCCTTCTTCACCACCCTCCTCCATGAAGTTGGTACCAGGGCCCAAACCTCTAAAATCATTCCCCACCTAGACACACTGCCCTACCTACCCTCCAGAGGCAGAAAACAGGGGTCGGTGTCCCTTCCCTGCTCCCAGCCACCAGGAGAGCCATCAGGGCAAGACAAGGAATGGTTGAGTAAAGGAGGAAAGGCACCTGCTCAGGAGCGGGTCAGCAGCCGCACTCCTGCTTGCCTGGGCCTCGGCCATGCTTCACATAGGGCAGAGGTCCAGGCCACATAGAGGTTGGCTCCCCTTGGGAAACCCTCAACCCAGGGTAATGGAGCACAGCAACCCTGGGCCCAAGCCCTCTATGTGCACCCTCGGTCTAGACACACCGCTGGTAACTACCACTGGTCACCACTCAGGAGGGGGCTCCCTTGTGACACCTGTTCTCCAAGGCAGAAATAACACTCATGGGCCTGGGGGCCTCCTAGGACCCCTGAGTACTCATTGCAAGGTTATACCCCAGACACACAGCCAGCCCTGGCCTGCGAGCCACAAAAGGGGCAGCCCCTGCTTACTACTGGCAGGACTGCCTCAGATCCCCCCCAGAGGGGTCCTTTCTGGAGGCCCAGCCAGTCAGCAAGGTCTGACTAAAGCTGCTCCCCAGCCTTAGAAACTGAAACCTTTGCCCTCATATCCTCCCTCCAGGCTAAGGATGCAGCCATACTCACCCGCTGCCCTCAGACCATCCTGGCCCCAAGGTACCCACGACAGCCCCTCTGGGCCCAATTGGCCTCATTTCCTCTTGGCTGGTCCAGGCCTCCCTGCACTGCCCACTTGGACAATCTGTCCACTTTGGAAAGACGCCTCTTTTCTCACACTGACCTCTTTACTTGTCTGCCAGCCACACCGGAATCTCACACTCCAAACACCCAGGATTACTGTGAGGACTACGTGGGGCGGGGGTTGTGGATTATGGTCACTGGGAGTCACGTGTGGGATCACAGAGAGATACACAATCATACTGTGTGTCCTATGAGCAGGCTGCAAACACCCACATGTGCTCACAAGTACGTACAGGGTGCATGCACGCTGTGTCTGTCATGTACACAAGTTTGTGTCCACTTTGAACGTGTGTTTGAGTTTAGTCTTTTCTCTGTGAACATCCACGGATTTAGCTCCAAGCAAGACCAAAGGGGAGCAAGAAGGGGCAGTGCGCCTCGGGAGCTGCTCAGGGGCTGTGGGGTCACTCACCATGCCGTGTGTCATACTGTCTCATCTGCACCTCCTCCACGCAGTCGGCCGGGAACCAGCCCGTGCGGCCTTTCACGGTCCCCTCCCAGAAACCGCCCTCCCCAATGCTGAGCACTGGAGGGACAGAAGCCAGACAGCTGTCAGGGTGCAGCAGGACACCCAGGGGCCCACCCCACCCACCACCTCAGGCTCAGGTTCTGCCCACCACCCTCCTCCTTCACCCTTTCTCTCCTTCTCTCCCCTTCCCTTCCTTCATCCTCCTGGCTTTTTCCCTGGGAAGATTTTGGGATCCACACAGCAGACAGAAATGAACAGATGGACACAGCACAGGATAGGCATGTGGAGGACAGAAAGACACACAGATGGACACACTCGAGGGGGGACAACAGGCAGAGGCAGGGGCCACAAGCCTGCTCCTGCCCTCCCAGTTGACCCCTCTTCTCCCACCTCTTATTGCCCACCCCAGGGGTCACTGCCAAAAGCTCAGGGTCATTGTGCTGTTGCCAAGAGGTTAGGCCACATGATGGACCAAAGGAAGGCCGACCTCACAGCTGTTTCCTTCTCAGGCTCCCATCGACGTAGGGCACCCATGAGGATAGGACCCCAAAAACGACAGAGGCCCCCATAATGAGAGGAGCTTGTCATGGCACAGGATACCCCCAGAACACAGAAAGCGTCAGTGATAAAAACCTTCATAAAACAGACACCCACATAATTGTCACAGATATCCCCCACAATGGGACAGGGTCCCCACATATCACAAGGATTTCCAATGAATAAGTCCCAGAAGTGACACAGGAATCCCATAATTGGAGGAAGGTCCCTGATGGGATAGGGTCCTTCAAATATACAGAACCCCAATGACACCAACCTCCATCATGACACAAAAACAGCCCCATGACGAGAGGCACCTCTACGGTGACAACAGGGAACCCACAGTAGCAGAGGATTGAGAGGGACCCACATGACAGGACCCCCGGAAAGACAGACACCCCTCCCTGACACAGAGCCCTTCACGGTGACACAAGGAATCCCCAGGGGCAGATGCATCCCATAATGACCACAGCGGCTCAGAGTTCCAGAGATACCCCCAATGACAGAGACCCCAAAAACGGCATCAGCCCTTCCACGATCGCGGAGGACCCCAATCGTGCACCCGGGAGTGGTGCCCCCCCCGCGCGCCCCACGACCCCGCCCCCCGCGCCCCCCTCACCCTTCACGGCCTCGCCGCGGTGCAGCGGGATCTCGCCCTCGCCCTGCGGGCTGTGCGCCTTCACGGCGATGAACTTGCGGCCGGGGACGGCGCTGTAAAGTTTCCGCTTCGGGCCC